TTGGCAAGCCCTTTATTTCTGAGACTGCCTGCCTGTCCTGCTGAAAGACAAATTGCTGGGTGTAATGATCTTAGGTCATAACTCCCCCCTCAAAACCCTGGGGAGTCGTTTGGCATGTAACTATTGGAGAGGAAATGTCTGAGGTCAACCCGAAGTTTTATTCTCTTACAAATGTCTACCTAATACTTGATTCCCTCACCCCCGCATTTACATTTCTCCCTTTCTGAAGACATTGTGCATATCCCTCCCAAGCACATGCTACTGAGAACATTTCTAACACCTCCCGAGTTCAGGCTCAGTTTCTACACTTTACTATTCACAGTATCCTTTGTGCAGAATTACTGGCTGGTGTGTGTCTTCCCAGTAGACACGTCCCATTTCTGATGTGATCTTAATTGGAAACAGGGTCTTGCAGATACAATCAAATTGAGGTTGTTACGATGGAGTCTAAATCAATATGGCAGGGGTTTGACCAGAAGCTAAATTTAAAGCTGGGCATGGTGGTGCATGCCCGTAATTCCCAGCACTTGGGAGACTGAGGCAGAAGGACTCAGTCCCAGAGCAGTCTGTGCTACACAGTGTTACTCTGTGTGCTAGTCATTTTCCTGTTGCTGTGATAAAACACCACGACCAAAAAGAGCTTAAGGAAGAGTTGATTTCTGTTTATGGTTCCAGAAGAACGGAGTCTATTGCTGTGGGATGTTCTGTATGTTAAATGTGTTGCTCTGATTTAATAAATAAAACACTGATTGGCCAGTAGCCAGGCAGGAAGTATAGGTGGGACAAGGAGAGAGGAGAATTCTGGGAGGCAGAAGGCTGAGGCAGAGAGACACTGCCAGTCGCCACCATGAAAAGTGAGATTTAAGGTACCAGTAAGCCTGGAGCCACATGGCAACTTATAGATTAATAGAAATGGGTTCATTTAAGATAGAAGAACCAGATAACAAGAAGCCTGCCACGGCCATACAGTTTGTAAGCAATATAAATCTCTGTGTGTTTACTTGGTTGGATCTAAGCGGCTGCAGGACTGGTGGATGAGAGAGATTTGTCCTGACTGTGGGCCAGGCAGGACTGGAGAAAAACTCTAGCTACAGTCTATCATGGCAGAGAAGGCAGGGCAGGGCAATTAGCTGATGGCATGTTCATCTACATGCAGGAAGCAGAAAAAGAGAGCAAGCAGGAAGTCGAGTGCCTGCCCCCACTGATGCTTCTTACAGCAAGGCTCTAAAGGTTGCAGGACCTCCCAAAACAGTGCCTCAAACCGGGGACCAAGTGCTCAGACACACGAGCCTATGAGGGATAATTCTCATTCAAATCACTCTACTGTTTGAAAAATGTAAATCAACAAAAAGGGGATTAAAATTGGATGGATAAGAATACCTTATGAAGACACACAGGGGAAAGATGACCATATTTAGGAGGGGCCTGAGGCTGGAATTTGCTGCTCTATGTCAAGGAATGCCTGGGAACTTCCACAAGACTGAAATGAAAATGAAGTCTACTCCCCTAGAAGCAATTAAAGGGCATGGCCCCATAGGCATTTCTCACCTCCATAATGGGAAGACAATACTCATCTGCTGCTTTAAGTCACCCAGTCTATGGTGCTTATGAAACCATATCACTGCCTTATGAAACCAAGAAAGATTGCCCAAACACTCTCAGCTTGCTACTTTATAAAATGTAGTCAACCTAAATTCATGGTTATTGAGGTTAAATGTTATTAAATGGAACATGATGTAGAAGTGTGGCAAACCCTATCAAATAAAAACAAGCCATCGTGCTGTCTTCACCCTCACTAGCACCATCACTGCACTCCACCCAGGCACGTTTTCTGCACTGTGGAGGTTTGAATGCGTAATGTCCCCCACAGGCTCAGGTATTTGAACACTTGAACTCCAGTTAGTGGCGCTGTTAGGGGAGGTAATGGGACCTTTAGGAGGTGGAGCCTTGATGGAGGAAGTGTATCACTGAGGGTAGACTTTGAAGGCTTATAGCTCTACCTCACTTCCTGCTCTGCTCCCTGTGTGTGTGTGTGGCTAAGATCTTTCAACTTCCTGTGCCTGCCACTGTGTCATGCCTTCCCCATCATGATGGATTCCCTATCCCTCTGGAACTACAACCCAAAATTAACTTCCTTCCTTAAGTTGCTCCTGGTCATGGGATTTTATCACAGAAACAGGAGAGTAACTTATGGAGAAACTCATCCCAGAAGTGGGGTTGCTGCTGTGAGACACCTGACCGTGTTATCTGAGGAACATGGAAAACGTGGAAAGTTTGGACTAGAAAAGCCACTGAATGCTTTAAGCAGAGCTTAACAAGCCATTCTTGGGGGAGACTGGGAGACAGTCTTACAAAGAGTAATGCGAACAGTGGACACCCAACTCATGAGGTTTCAGAGAGGAAGGAGGACTCTATTGGCAACTGGGCTAGAGGTCATTCATGTGATATTTTGACAAAGAATCTGGCTGCATTCTGTCCCATTCTAAGAACTTGACTGAGGCTAAATTTAAAGGTAATGGACTTTTTTTTTGGCAGAGGAAATTTCAAAACACCCTTGTGTTGTGTACTGGAAAAGAGGCTGTAATTATTAAGATTAGTTTAATTAAAGAGATGCCTCTTGGTTTGCATTGGAAAGATAGGAAAGCTGTGATCAGGGCAAGACCTAACTCCCCTAAGCCTCCAACTTGTAGAAGAGAGCCTAAGGGGTTTCCTGCTCCTGCAAAAAAATGGCATGCAGAAGTAAGTTGCTGCAAACGTGACCAAGGAGGTAAGTGCCCATTCTAGGTTGGCATCGGAACTTGGCAGTGTCTGGTTTTGATGACAAGAAAGTTACAAGATTGAGGGGGTCATGGATTCTTCCTCAGAAGTGTCAGAAAGCCAGTGAATCTAGGCAATGAGTGGCAGGCTAGAGTTCCTGTGAGGCCCTGGAAGACTATTGTGTGTAATGATGAAAACCGGGGTGCAGTGGAGACATCAATATTTTGGAGATGCCAGAGCCATGAGACACCTGCCAAGGAGAACTGCATACAAGGAATGGAACCAGACTATGAGCAAAGCTGGAGAAGCAGAGCCATCTAAGCCCCTTGAAACTGAACCCCCAGATACAGGACATGGACTAGACATGGATTTGGTGTTTGCCCTGTAGGGTTTGGGTCCAATCTTTTATCCTGTGCCACTGCATATTAAAAGTATGTAATGCACTGCTGCTGCCGCCGCCTCCTCCTCCTCCTCCTCCTCCCAACAGAGTCACAGTTAAGAGATTGTCTTGAGGCTCAAAAGAGCTCAGTACTTCTCAAGTGTTAAGACTGTCAAGACTGTGGAGACTTTCAAAGTTATACTAAATGCATTTTGTCGATGGCCACAAGCTTATAGGGGTCAAGGGGCCAAAAAGCTGGTGGTGCTGTTTGGGGAAGTCATGTAACCTTTAGGAGGCAGAGCCTTGCTGGAAGAAATGTCACTGGCCATGGAGCCATTTTTGAGGGCTTACAGCCTCACATTTCTTGCTTCCTCTTTGCTTCCTCTGTCCAGCTGAGATGAGCTCTCAAACTCCTGCTCCTGCTGCCAAGCCTTCCCCAGCATAACGCACTCTATCCCTCTGGAACCATAAGCTTAAACTCTGCTTAAGCTGCTTTTGGTAATGGTAATTTATCACAGCAACAACTTTGCTCTGAAAAGTGGACTCCTATTTTCATATAAAGTTTATATGACTTTCAGAAAACTGCAGTAATTTTTAAAGCTGAATTTCCAGGTCCACCATCAGAGCTTTTGATTTAAGAGGCTTTAGGTAGAACCTTGTATTCTTGCAAAGGTCCAAATAAGGACTAAGCACTCACAGTATAAAGGAATTTAAGTTGTAGACCTGTATTAGTATCCTGTTCGATACATATACAAAAGTGGGCCAAAGAAAGCTGAACCCAAGTCAGCAAATGCAAAATCAAGCAAATTTGTTTTAATGTTGAACTTCAATAACTTCACTGGTTATTCTAGAGTAGAATGAAAAAATACTAGACAACAGAGACTGTGCAATATATAATATATGGGACAGTACAGTAGGGAATTGAAAACATGCGTCTTGGTGTTAGACAGGCTTGAAATGTAAATGTGGCACCTTTTAGAATGTGAATCTGGAGAAATGGGTGACACACCTGAAATGCCAACAAATGTATCAGAGTTTTGAGAAAAAGGAACAAGGCTGCCATGACCAGGTGCTAGGGAACAGCACAGAGGGTACCAAAGGATGCTGTTTTGAAAATCTGCAATGCGTTGTCATAACAAATAGACTTCGGGTATGGCGAGACGGCTCAGCTGGTAAAATGTCTGTCCTGCACACCTGACAACCTGAATTCAACTCCTGGAAGGAACCCATGGTAGAAGGAGAGGACCAACTCCTGAAAGTTGTCTTCTGATCTTCACACATATGTCATGGCACACATGTGTATACACACACACACACACACACACACACACACACACACACACACACACACTTAAAAAAATAAAATCAATTTTGTTTGCTGTTGGGCTGAAGTTGCAAATGCAGAGAAAAAGAGGCTCACTGATTAAAAGCAGTAGCTGCTTCCAGAAAAGATATAAGGAGGGCCACATATTTCTAGTTGTTTCTTAAAGATTACTGTCCTGGAAGGCACTTACCTGGGATGCTGCTTGCTGGCTTGCCTTCTGCACATCTCCTTGTATTTTGGACTTTTACAGCATTTAATACTGACAGTTCACTTACCAGAGTACATAACCATTCTCTTAGAATTCCCCACAGCTAAAAAAAACTTAGTCTTTAAGCATGTTCTTAAGGTTATGTTTTCTCAAACATAGGATTTGTTTTCTCTGCTTGGAATGTTTCATTATCTACTTCACTGGGGTCCAAGATGCTGAGAAGGACAAACAAGGAGAGGAATGCCTTCCTGATGTGGTAAACCAGATGTTTACCATCACCAAAGGAGATTGGGTGCACAGTAAACAGCAAAAAACACAGCAGGAAACAAATGTATACAAAATGGCCTTTTATTTTTAGTGTTACTTAGAGCATTAGAGATTTATTTTATATTAGAAATAGTCACCACCACAACCTGGTGGTGCATACTGCAATCATGGTGCTCAGAAGGCTCATGCAGGAGAAGCACCAAGTTTAAAGTCAGCCCTGGGCTACATACTGAGACTGTATCTCAAAAAAAGTAATAATAATAATAATAATAACTTAAAAAAAAGTCCCTCTATTTGAATTTGTCTTATTTTCACTAAGTGTGGCTTCCTTTCTGGAGCGCTGCCACAGTCCCAGTTGTCTCGGTCTCACGTATCTTCAGCAAGCTCTAACGCACGTTGTTCAGCCCCCTAGGCCAGCCATTCACTGAGTACATAACCCAGGGTGCAAGAAACTGAAGTTTATATACTTTTCAGGCTTGTGACCGCAGAGCTTCAAGATGGCTGTCTCGGCATCAGGAGTTTTCAATCTCAACCCTGATTCCTGAGAATAAAAGAAGCAAGGTGGAAAGAACACCCCCCTTTACACGTTCAGTTCAACAGTAAACAAAAATTTTCCTCACAGCTTCACCAGCAGGCTTCTCTTTTTTCTTTCTCCTATCTGCGCGACACAGACATCCTACTGTTGGGAACTCTAGAAAACCGAGTGACAGGTAAGGATGAATAAAACTGTGCTGTCTTAAAGCAATCATGATTCTTCTTTGGTATTGGGAATTTTGCTTCCCTCAATATAGTCAGGGTCAGTTTATTACAAGGGTTACAAGTTGGAGAGAACTTACTCAGTATATATTCCTGCCAACCCACCCATTCTAAATAACTGTATTTTTCACATTTAGTACCCTAAAAGTCACATACGGAGTTGAGCCCTGGAAAGCTGCAAAGTAAAAGGTGCTTGAAGACTTCAACTGAAGTTATCTGTCTGGAATGATCCCAAAGGATGATCCTACCCTGATGTGATCAATCACCTTGGAGGAACAAGGAGGAACTCTGAGGAGCTGAGTTGGGTGGTCAAGTTCACAGGAGGCTGTAAATTCCAATCCCTTAAGAGTAGAACACCTACTCTAAGAACTCCCACCAGTAATCTACAAAGCTACCATGTTGTACTGTGCCTGGAGCTGGGGACAGATCAACCACACTGCTGCAGGTGCCCAGAACAGCTCTGCCCATGAGGGCCATGATGCAGCAAGAGTGGCACAGGGAGAAGGGCATAGCTTCTCTTCTTCCTTTCCCATCTGCCTGTACTTCCTGGAAGCACCTCCTCAAGATGCTGCTTTTTTTTTTTTTTTAATTGTTCAAAGAATCAGTGTGGGGCTGGAGGCAGAGTTCAGGAGTGCTTGCCTTCGTTAAACCCTTAGTACCAGGAGAACAAAGGAACCACTCCCATTCATGTCCATCAATACAGTTGTTCTTTACTATCCCTATTGTAAGTCTTCTTTGCAGACGGGAGACACACTTCTGCCAGGAGATACTAAGCAGAGGCTGGGAAACATATTATTAATGAGAAGCTATCATGATGAACAACAAAAACTGAGGGAGTTGGACAGTCTTTAGCATATTTCTATGAAAATAATACCCATTATCTTCATAAAAGATCTTACATCTGACAAATTGACATCAACTGTCTACACTACCATTGTAAGCATATTCAGAGTAGTTGTACAACTACCACCACAATCGACTTAATATTTTCATCGTCCCTCTATTCAAATATCTCTGTACCCATTAACAACCACTCCTCTTCTCTCCCTACCCCTTCTACTAGCCCTAGGTAATGACTTACCTACTTTCTCTCTTTAGCGATTGAAGTATTCTGGAATTTGCACATACATGGACACCATCCAGTAAGTGGTCTTTAGTGATTGACTTCTCTAACTTAGCACTGTTTTCAGGGTTGTAGTGTGTCTTTGTACTTTATTTTCATTATATGGCAAACAGAGACACTATGTGGATATACCACAGCATATGTATAATCAGTTGATGAGCACTTAGGTTCTATCCATTTCGGGATATTATGAGTGAACAAATGCTGTCATTTGTCTTGGGCATGTACCTGGAAAAGCCACAGCTGGGTCATGAGGTAGCACTGTGTTTAACTTATTGAGGAACACCTCAACTGTTTTTTAGAGTGGCTACAATAGTTTATATTCCCATAAGCAATGTACCAGGATTCAGATTTCTTCACAAACTTGCCAATTCCTGCTATTGCTTGATTTAATTTATAGCCATCTTAGGGAGTATGCAGGCCTACCACTTTTCGGTTTTATAACATGAATTTTAAGAATATATATGTGATATATATGTTATATATATATATATATATATATATATATATATATATATATATATATATATATATATATGAAACACTAATGTATATTCTATTGTTTGAATCATTCAATCTCTCCAGCCCTGGGGTTCCATATCATAACCATCCAACTGGGCATCTGAGGCCTAGTTTGCAAAAGGCTTACTAATTTATAATTAAAAAGGCAGACCCTTCAATGTCATTGAAGGCAACCAGTCCAGGAACGGTAGGTCTAGTTAGCCAAGATGGCTGCAAAGCAGAAGGCCTGACTCATCTAAGAATAAACAAACACTGTTGGTATGAATATAACCCCCAATTGTGCATTTGTTTTGTGTATTTAAGGCTTGCACTTCATGATATTTCACAGAACAGGGCATGTTCAAAAGGCTTGCAAAACAGTGGGATGCACAAAGTTGTTACTGACTTTTCAGTTACTATCCAGGAATCCACTCTCTTCTTCCTTAGTTTAGCATTAATTTGATGGGGACACAGTGAGGAACTGTGACTGGCCACAGAGAACAATCCCATTCTCGGCTCTGCCTTCCTTGGAAGCTGGAAAAACCAGAGTTCCTCCCACTGAGCAGCAAGCTGGCTCTCTAAAGCCTTCCTTCAGAAAGCCAACCTCACAGAAATGTTAACCTCATTCTGTGGCGTTTTCTACCTTATCTCTCTCAGGCTGACTCTCAAAAAGACCACCTCTTCAACGCAGAGGTACAGTGAGAGCTCCTACACAATCGGCTAGTCTCCTGTCTCAGTGCCCCTTGCCTAGCACCTGAGGTGAACCACAGAGATCTCACCTCATCGCCGAAAGCAGGCACCAACTGCCCTTGTAAGGCAGATTCTGCTCTTCTTTTACGGAGTTCCTGTCTTCCTCGTTCTTTTACTTACCAAACCCCAACCCGAGAAGCCGGAGGCTGTGCCATATCAGCTTGGCTGACAATTCATGAGGCTTCAAGCTCAGAGGACGCCCCGGCCGGGACCGAATCGCAGCCCTAACCCCGCCACGACGCGCCCTTCCGCCGGCGCACTCCGGGGATTCGGGGAGCACCCAGGTTCGGCCCGGAGCACCAGAGGCGCAGGTGAAGGCACCAGCTCTGCACCTCCACAACCTCCCGCAGCCTAGCTTCAGTGGCGGCGGGGAGCCGGAAGTGACGGACAGGAAGTCCCGCCTCAGTCATAGGGCGGTCCAGCAAGATGGCGGCGCCCAGGAGCCGGTGAGAGGACGCGGGGTTCCCGGGGACAGCTGCACCGGTGCGTTATGGCTGCGTCCCCGCACACCCTTTCCTCGCGCCTCCTCACAGGTATTGTACCCCACCGGGCACGATCGTGGGAGAATTCTTTTCTATTGGCCACGCGCGAGACCGTGGTTCCGGGCTGGCTGCAACCTTGGAAGCCCTTGGCTTGTCACCTGCCGGGGAGGTGACCTTTGGGGTAACCTGAAGGGACGAGGCCACGGAGATGTGGACCAGTTTTGTACCGTAGGCTAGGTGGTCCGTAACGTTGGGTGTCTCGTGCTTCTTTGGGGGTGTCAGACAGTGCAAGCTGGAGGGCCGGGTAAACCTGGGGTCTCCCCAAGCCTCAGGCATGTGAGAGCCGTGGTTCCTAGCCACTGCCTTGTAATGACAAGAGACGCACCTGCCCCCATTAAGGAGCTGCCTTCCAGCTTGAAGTGTCACCATGATAACCATGATAATGATAACTGCAGACTGAATCCCATTGAGACTTAGCTCTGTACCATCAGTATGGCTCTTTCCGTTAAAAGGACTTTTGACAAATGTTTATATCACAAATTCTTGAACAGGTCTCATGTCTTACCTTTCCAGAGAGGCTAACCTCTGCACTCTACCTAAACTAGGAGCCTTCATCCTTCTTTTCTCATATCACATTAGTTTATCATGGTTAGCACATGCTGTAAGTGTTCACACATGCAATTGCACAGATGTACAACACTTTAGTATGTTTCTCCTAATTAGATACATACTTCGTGAAGGTAGAGATTGCCTGTCTCTCTAGTTCACCATTGTATCCCTCATGCCCAGTACAGTTCCTATGTACATCGACCATACTCAGTCATTGCTGAATGAATGAGATTGTTCTGGTAGAAATATTAGGAGGAGATTGGTTTTGTTGCTGGTATCCGTGGATGATGGCCAGTTGGTCCATATTAGGGACAATATAGTAAAGTCAAGAACTACCTTCTCACACCCCAGAAGTATTTTGTAGGCCTCACTGTCACATGCAAGCTGCCCACGGTGTCTAGCTAACAGTGTTGATCCATGGTGCTTCCAGGAAGTTCTTTTCACCCGTGGGTTTGTGTGATCTCAGTGCAGATCATTTGACTTTTCTGTAACGAAACATTTACTTGTCTATAAATGAGGTAACTGAGTGAGATGATCTCAAAGGTCCCTTCTGGCTCATAAAATGGGGCAGCAAGTACAAGGGAGGGTAGAAGAGGCAAGGTTAGGCAGTACTTGGTAATTGTTGAAGCTGGGGGGTCTTGGAGACTCCTTGGATACCTCTGTTTTTATATGACTGCTATTTTCCATACTGAAAAGTTTGTGGGTTTTTTTTTTTTTGTTGTTTGGGGGGACAGGGGGTGTTCTGAGTCTTTTTGAGTCACTTCTTTGTTACTTTCTGTAATTCCTGCTGTGAGTGGTCTGAGATCCTGACCCTTGGTCCTCATTTTCAGAGGGCTCCTCTCTTCTTAGTGCTTGACTACCCTCTCTGCATGGAAGCTTCTCCCATATATCTTCCTCAGAGAAGCCTTTCTTTCCACCTTTCTGTTCCATATATCAGCTCCTTATAGGGCAATTCTATTTTGATTCCTGAGTCCCACCGTGTAGGAGATAGGCTGCATATGACCCTCTTGTCCCAGGAGTGGAACTAATAGCTTAGTTTCTAAAATTGAGCATACCTTCAGAAAAATCTTATCTGTGTGAATATATGAAAGATCCCACTCAGAAGTTTGATGGGCAGAGTTGGCAGTTAGGATCATTAGGGTTGTTAGGTGCCTTAGTAGTTACTTCCGAGTTTGCTTATAAAAGCCCAAATTATTTTCATTTCCATTAACTAAGCTTCAGGAACTTTCAAGCCACTGGTCTCCTTAGCTAATTTAAAAAGCCCCGCAGATGCAGTCTAGTGTTAATAGTGAACAGTGGTGTTAGGATCATCTCTCTAGATTTTTTAATGCATCTGTGTAAGCCCTGGATATCTTAAAGTGTACATGTGCTTACCCAGGCCTGAAGTAGCTTTCATTTTCTAGGTATTTGTTCAGGAACACGTGACACACTTTGACTAAACCAAGTGCAGGCATTATTTACAAATACGGTGTTCCAAGCTGTGTCCCCACCCCCTCCCCCACAGTGGTTGTTATTACTGCCATTCTGCAGAATTTCAGGTTGGCCCACCTAATCTTGGAAGAATTTCCCAAGTGGTTCCCAGGCAAACACGTCTCCATCCATTTGAAAGTGAGCGTGTCATAATTGTGGTTTGAGGATGTGGTTTCGGTGCCAGTTGGCTCCCCTCTACTGTGAGATAATGGCCTTGTATTTCCAGAGGCAGCTTATTCTCACAGTTCAGGAAGGCTATGTGGGCTTGTCAGTCACCAAACATCATTTCACTTTATTATCTGGCAAGCGTCCCGTAGCTGTGGTAGCAGAGGTGACTAAAGGAGAGACTGCCATCAAAGATCTAAACTACGTTGATGGTGTTTTCTTTCCTTGGGGAGACAGAAGCAGTGCCTACTCCCTCATCATAAGGTCCTAATGAAAAACCAAATTATGATTCCACCAGCATTCGCCCTAGGGACCCAGTGTGTTTATTGGGTTGCTTGTAGAGCATGGCTGGGGGGCTACTGGTAGGAGTGGGGGATCTCAAAGCAGCTGCACTTTCAAGTTTGTACCCAGTGTGGAGGATGGCTTCTCCATAGCCACATGGAGCCCCTTCAGTGAACCTTTCCCAGCCGGTTACTCCAGCACCTCTACGTCCTGAGGCCACATGCAATTAAGGTATAATTGCAAACAAATGGTTGTGAGGAGTGGCTGGAATCTCAGGTGAGAGTCCAAGCCCTCCCCAACCCTTCATCTATGAAGGAATGTCAACAGCTAGCAAACTGGATCCTGATGCACTTTTGCAAGCAGGCAAAGCTGGTCTGGTGCAGATGGAGGCTGTTTTGTCCAGAGGACTGCATTCTATAACACATGGGAACAGTGTGCATTAAGAAGTGCTGTCGTGGGGCTGGAGAGATGGCTCAGCAGTTAAGAGCACCGACTGTTGTTCCAGAAGACCTGTGTTCAGTTCTCAGCACCCACATGGCAGCTCACAACTGCCTGTAACTCTACCTCCAGGGGATCTGACATTCTCACACAGACACGCAGGGAAAACACCAGTGGACATAAAAAATAAGTAAATCATTTTAAAAAAAGTGCTGTCTTCACATGCAGATCCCCCACAGCCAAACATCAGGCAGAACTAGGAGAAACCTATGGAAGAGGGGAGGAAGAATTGTAGGAACCAGAGGGTCAAGGGCACCACAAGAACACATTCCACAGAATCAACTAACCAGGCCTCACAGGGGCTCACAGAGACTATAAACAACAATCAGGGAGCCTCTATGGGTCTGACCTAGGTCCTCTGCATATGGTTGTGTAGCTTGGTGTTCTTGTGGCACTCCTAGCAGTGTGAGCGGAGGCTGTCTCTGACTCTTTTGCCTGCTCTTGGGACCCTTTTCCTCCTAGTTGGTTGCCTCATCCAGCCTTATATGAGGGGATGTGCCTCATCTTAATGTAACTTGTTATGCCATGTTTGGTTGATATCCTTGGGAGGCCTGCTCTTTTCTGAAGGCAAACAGTGGGGGAGTGGATTTGGGGGAAAGGGGAAGTGAGGGCGAGGGACTAGGAGGAGAAGAAGGAGGGGGAAACTGTGGTCAGGATGTAATATATGAGAGAAGACTAAATAAAAAATTAAAAAATAATAAAAAAGTGTCATCATAAAACATAACATAACATGATAGAATAGTGAAAGAGACTGAAAATTTGATAGGTAGAGCGTAGATTGCATACAAGGAAACAGTGGGAATAAAGTTGATCCAGGAGTGTGTAGTGTGTTTAGTTGGAAGGTCATAAGGCAGTATTGCTGTGATAAAGTAGATGTGCACCTTTGTGTTTGAAATACATGCTCGGTGTGGTGGTTTGAATATAGGCACAGGCATTTGAACACTGGGTCCCAAGAGGTGGTGCTGTTTGGGGAGGCTTAAGGGGTACAACCTGTGAAACATGGGTTGGGAAAGAGGAGATGCATGAAGCAGGATGGCTGCCTTCACTCTAACTGCTTGACTCTGCTTCAGTCTGAGCTCATGGAGTCTTTGAGTAGGAATAGAAAGAGAGGGGCGGGTGTGACCTGCATGTCTTACCTTGAGTCTGTTTTCCTGCCTATGTAACCCCAGGGAGGAGGCCTTCTCAATCCTAATACTTTGTCAGCTTCCAGAGCCCTGTAGGTTTGGTAGGTTCTTGAGTATTACAAGCCTTCCTCTAGCAGGGAATTCTTAAATTCAATGAAAAAAACTACACAATACATAGAAAATTGAAGAACACTAGGAAACTAAGAAGCAGAAAACAGCACAGAGAAACTTTAGGTTGTGGAAGCCATGAGAGGAGACACTTTAGAAGAGATCAGCTGGGAACCTAGAGGGTAAGTGAGGGATAGCCTCAGTGTCTATGCTATCCCATGCTGGGGACCTAGAGGGTAAGTGAGGGATAGCCTCAGTGTCTATGCTATCCCATGCTGGGGACCTAGAGGGTAAGTGAGGGATAGCCTCAGTGTCTATGCTATCCCATGCTGGGGACCTAGAGGGTAAGTGAGGGGTAGCTGCAGTGTCTATGCTGTCCCATGCTGGGACCCTAGAGGGTAAGTAAGGGAGATCTGCAGTGTCTATTCTGGCCCATGCTGGACAAGGATGATGCCTGAGACAAGCTCTGAATTTCTTGATTTGAGAGGTTTAATAAAGTGATTAAAATTCAAATTTGGATGCAATAGAGAAGCAGCTTATTCCTAACTGGGTCGACAGTCATATTTTACTGGAAG